CACTTAGAAGTTACATTATTAAGCAAAAGATATTCCTAATAGCATAGTTATCAACAACGTGAGATAATATCGAACAGTTTCCTTGCGTTACATTAAATACACATTAGCGTCAAAATAGATACAATATCTGTAACATTGATAATAATAACTAAGTACATATGTATAATGTTGGTTTTGTATTTTCACCTGAGTCCAACATTGTTGAATGCAATAAAGGGTTGAATTAAATTAATAAGCTCATCGCAAAAAGTTCATCCTGTGTGCAAATTACGAACTAGCAGTTCTCGAGATTAGCCCGACCAATCAAAGAAACTCATTAGTTTTATAAGATTAGTACAAGTAGGTTTATTACAATCTACCAGTATTAGCAATACAAATGTTGTGAACAATGACAGATATGTAAAGACAGCCCTTTTCATAGACGCACGAAGCAATAAGAAAAAACGTTAAAACCCGCGCCTTTGATCCGCTAAGTGTATAAAGATTAGGAAGGTTCTCCCTGCAGTGGGAATAAACAGGCTTATAATAATAATGTTTGGCCAGCCAACTGATCCATCAATGTCAAGTTCGTGATTCGAACTGGTATTCATTTAGAATCGATTTCTATCGTTAGTTTCAAATATTTTAAGGATATCTCTAAGAATAGTTATAAGAATATTATGTATATTTGGATATTCACAATGCAACTCAAATCGTTTGTACTTGAATGATGATCATTAAGTTGTTACTCTTGGGACATCACGTTCCTTAAATAAGATTTGGAGTGAGACTTAAGTCTAATCATTTAACAAGTTTTTGGACACGTGGCTAGAATGTAAAGCCCACGAAATCGTGTGGAATGCTGAACGAATGCTGTACTAAAATCTCACAGGTAACGCGATCCGTGATACGGTCACCTTGCTTGCGAGCAGTAATATATTTTATTTTATTGATGTTATTCGCCCTGCATGTAGGTTACGAATACGATACCGACCAAATAAGGCCTTTTATGTCTGAGTAACATGCGGTGTCGTAAAACATAATGCAGTTAAATTACACGGTAGCGACACGTCGCCACAAATATTATGAAGTTACCGCCGTTACTAATATGTACACATTTTCTGCGCGCTTGAAATTTCTAGATCGGTTTACGAGAAATATTGTTCCAATATAGGTAAGATTACTATCAATGCTGGCACACCCGCCATAACATGTCATTTTGAGAACCAATACACATTTTAAACGAAATTGGAATTGAAATGTATAGACGTTATTTCTATTCCATGAAACGAATTATTTATAGGTAGCTCAGCTTAAACTGTTATCTTTTTAAACGGCATTTACTAATCGGCCGCTCAGTTGAGCACATTAAAGTAAATAAACAATTGGTACATATGTGAGAGACTCAGTGTCTAGTTATATTTATAGGCGATGTATTTGTATACATGTTGTGTGTGTGAGTGCAGCCTGGCACTGGAATCAGCCGTGGCGACGGCTTGTCGCGACCGTCTCGCCGTCTACATTCACAATATCTCCTTACACACAGCATAACTGCCGACCTATACAGAAACAAGATATGCGATTTTATTGCATTTTCTTAAATTAATTGCCTATTAGATTCCCGCTGTGGATTTCCTTTTTAAAGATTTGGGGCTTGCTATCCGTCTTTCCTCTAGGTTTCTGGTACACTGTGATACTGTGTAACAGTTTTCAACTAACTTGGAGACCATAGAGACCTACGTAAATCGATTAAGTAGTTTCCTAGTTTGAAACATGTTCACGGGCGGACACGTCAAAGTTTTTCAGTAAATCATAAGATATGATCATATCTTAACTCGTATCTCTACAATACTTGGTTCAGAATACGAAATACTCATGATTACGATAAAAGGATGGAATCAGCAGTAGTAACATTTCTCTGGGATTCCCTAAGACAGATTTGAGATAAAATATTGTAAGTATTTGAACTCAAACGTATTTTCTTCCTTCCAGCTTTAGTTGGCTCTGAACTGGTAGAAACTGTTACGTTCACTGAATAAAACGGTGAAGAAGAAACATAGTTAATGTATTCAATCACCATTACATCGTGTGTACGAGCTGTCGTTTTCGGAGGCTAGAGATTGATGGCGGTCGCTCGAAGCCTTTCCGCCTCCAAGATATGCTGTACCCCCGATATTGCGTGACGACTTACAAGTCACGATTCATCGCCCTCCAACAAATATGGCCCAGGAATTTATTGACTTACAAGCCTCCATGGCATTTAGTAACGTGAGCAAACAAAATGAATAAAATCTTGCTTTCAAACGAATGCGGTTTAAACTAAACAGTAAGGCATTAGCTGCTACGCATATCTGAAGACGTCGCTACGTAGTTGTTTATTTACATTTTATTGAACATTCAATGACATCGATAAGTATACGATAGTAGTTACGTTGCCAAGTTTGGACAAATTACGCGTGTGTCGATGTGTGTACAATTGATTCTTTCGGGTGAATTGAGATGCTACTATGTCTATCTCAGTTTATTGTTATATTTGACAGATTGTGAGTCTGCTAGAACAATACTGTACGTTTTAACATACAAAATCCGTTTAATATTATTGCCTTGCTAACATTAACAAGCACATAGAGAATCAGATTTCCAAGGCATGTAACTTATTTGAGTTAAAATAAACACAAGTAAGATATGATGATTCATGAAACTATATACCGAAAAGAAGGCAGGGTTTAAGAATAACCACTATGTAAATTACCATATGGCGCTACGGCTACGTTTCGTCGTGTGTAGCACTGGCTACGCATTTCGTAGCAAAGAAGCTACGTTAAACTTACGATGTACCTTTCATTCGAGTCTAGCTAGCAAAGTGCCTTATCGACCCCGAGATCGCAGCGTCTTTAGCCAGCGTGCAACGGCGTGAGATGCGAAGGGCCGCTCACCTGAGCAGCCTAGGACGCGTCCCGTCTCTCCGCCCACTTGTGGCGGTGGCGAGTTGAGCAGCACGTCTGTCACGGAACGTCCGCATATCTGGCACTCTCATGCCGTACCATCATAAAGCACCACAACACGAGTGAGCGCGACACGCGAGTCGCATAGTAGCGCGCGGGGCGCGTGATGTAGCGCTCTCGGCGCTCGGCGGCGATGGAGCGCGGCGCCGCGCGGCACGACTGACTGGCCGCTCGCTCTCCGACCGCTCCGCGCTCCGCGAGACGGGCGCGGCGCCGCCGCACGCACGCGCCATGCGCCCCGCCGCCCGACACCCGCTTCAACCCTTACTCCCATCTCGCTACTACCTACTTAGATATTATCAATAAAATTATTGTACGACATCAACTCGTCCGATAGCCGCAGCCTGTCAATTGTTTCGTCTATCGACTGTGAAATTGAGTCATTTATAGCCAGACGTAATAATTATAATTTACGCGAATTATTAGTGACACTAAATTAAAAAAGGTGATCTGAGATTATCTAATTATTTGATTTCAATTAGTTTTCGGTAATGGAATTATAATAATACAAAGCTTTGAAGAAGTACTTGCCGCCACATATATTCTGAGTAGTTCTTTTATAGACGAATTTGTGTAACTGTTTATACGAAGTATTGACACGCGTCGTAAGCCGGCATTGGTCCAGACTTTCAGCAAGAAATCAGATTGTAAATCATAGCTCAGTTAAAAACCCCACGCTTGTAGCGTAAGGAAGAAATTTTGGAAGTTCGTTCAACCCTTAGATGAATGATGTTATTTCTGCCTACTTATATCTTTTAAGCGTTTCGTGAGAAATTAATGTAGGTACAAAAAATTATGTGTCTAGATGTTAACCCGTGTTTACGTACTTACATAGGACTCTTTAGCCTAATAAAGTTAATTGAGTAATTTATGGTTTGCATAAATATTTCAATTATCTAGTGTTATTTATTAACTTATTTTAATAATGAAACGAATGGAATAGTCGACCCCAGAGATTGAATATATAACCGCGCGACGATTAGTGGCTGGCAGCTCTCCAACGTGGACAAGATGCGGGTTCTTGCAGCCACGACGCAGTCTCTCACATCCCGTACATACAATGCCAGTACACCATGACGGCACATTTCATATTTGAACCCAGACATACACATTGTATGTATAGGTAATATAACTGCTTTCATTGAAGCACGTATCGAGGTTCAGGGTTAAACCATTTTCAGCATTTTTAATACCCTAACTCACTGGCATTGTCGTAAAGTTGTGTTCGTACCTATTATCTGTTTTGGTGCTCGGTACAAGGCCATCGGTAAAAATAAAGTACTTCTAAAAGCCTGCCTCCTGAAATAAAACCTGGCCGAAGTGGAATGAATATCGAATGTTTTGGTATATTGAGATATTTCATATATTATGTACTTACGAGACTTTCGCAGACAGACAGAGAAATATGAAGAAAAAAGGAATTCGATTGCTCGATCCGCCATCTGACATACCTACGTACTATATAGTGGTATAGTACCTATATCTAAAAGCTTTAAGTATATGCATTTGCTACGAATGCGTATATTCCATTAGCGTTAAACATACGCTAGAACCTTTTCTATATTGGATCAGACGGTCAAGCATATCGATCTTACTTCAACCTTATTCAGAGGTCTTTTGTTAGCAACGCCATAGGCCATCAGATAACGTTTGAAATGGTGGGTAATCGCATGTAATGCTCAAGAATAGTGCGGCGTAGCTGTGGTGGATAAGAAAGCATCGCGAGTGCCAGGCCAGGCCAGCCTTGACCACGCCACCGGCCTGCACCTGATCAGATCGTATCTTTCACTATCGCTTTGTTGAGTCACCTTTGTGCTGTAAGGTCGCCTGCTCATTTACTTAGATAAAGAAAGATGGACGAGTCACTACAACACCATTCTCGGTGAACGTTCTGATTAGATTACGTTTATACGAAAACAAACCCATAAATATTGATTAAAACTTCTTCGTTACCAAGTCGTGTGAATTTCCATTCAATTCATTCGCGACAAAATTGTCCTCTTTGTGTTTACTTACCATTCTCAAACTCTGGTAGTCCAACTTTCAGAAAAGTATTTTTTTCAAATTTACAATAATTTTATATCGAATGTGAACAAAAAAATTATAAATTTTAACTTTAAAATTATTTCCATGCATGTTACAGATTACTAAAGTGCATAATATTTTCAAATGAGATGATAGATTTCTTAAAATATCTAGACTGGTATATTTGCCTACAGGTAAAATTAACTGCGCAACTGGCCTTTGAAAATAAGTTATTCTTTTACAAACGAACATTCATATCAATTTAACATAATATTTTACCACACTCGGAATATATGAAAAAGGTAAGTAATAATTTTGTTGTCGACGTTAATTCGTATTATCATTTAATTTAAAACACTTCTCATTTAATTTCAGTTGTTTTGTGTCATGTGATACTAATAGACACGCGATGTCACTTTCGCTATAAACATCAAATTATTCTCAAACATGGTTGAAATAATTAGCAGCTATGTTAGTTATGCTAATAAACCATATAAGTAATGGTGTAGAAACAGTTATGTAAGCATTAATTTAAGTGTTCCTTCGCATTTACGACCGTTCCCTAAAGAATGTCCCGAAACGAAAATTACATTTCAGTGTAATTAAAAATTAATCATAGCGGTCACTTAGTTCGAAACCAACACGGGCTGTGCGTTTGCCAAGATCTTCACATCTATGAAAGCAACGCCGTGAGGCCTTTAGCAACACACCCAGCCGTTCGCACATTCATCAATCATGAAAAGGCCGCCCAAGAACTACACTGGTTGGCATTTTATTTACTTCTGAAAATGTATTACTCATAATGAATAACCACTTATCCAAATCTCTCGTTTAGAACGAACTCAAGTTAACAACCATAGGTGGTAAGCTGTGAGTATTGTAATTGGTAAACTTTGATCTAGGCCGTTTATGTGCGAGGTACCTAAAGTTAAATCGATCGTTTTGGAGGGTAAGCCTACGTTTGCACAGCTTTAACAAGTTTACTTTACCTACTTTTTACGGAGAATGAACGGTGAATATCGAAATATCGCAATCTTTAGACGTTTGTGGTCTTTGCCAAAGTTTCCGTCAAATTACGGTCGCTGCAAAGCGGTATCAAAGTCGACAACTTGATATAGCTTTAATAGACATGTCAGCTTACACACTCGCAAAGAGCTCAGAAGTTTTCCGCAGACATTGCATTTATTGTGGCTGTATTAGATAACGTTAACGTGATATTTTTGTAGGGTTATTGTTCTTGGTGTCAATTTCCGAGGAAATTGGTAAGAGATCAAGAGAGACAAAGATCGTAAGAGGTACTTAATTACGAGAAAATCTTTGACAAAATTACTAGAAATATCTATTAATGATTATCGAGAAAATCTCATTTACTTATTTTAGCAGACAGAACAAAACAGAAAGTATAGTACCTATTACGATTAGATCAGTACATAAGCAAAACTTAAACTGAAAATCATTAAACATTTTCTTATTGTAAACGTTACCTATAATATCTACACGAAAATAGTTGAGTTATATGTTTTCACGTCACCATGAGTTTAGTTGCTGCAGGTAACTACTCAACACAGTCTGTTGGCTAATTCATCAATCACAACCTTCAGTCTGTAATTATGCCATAACTTAGCCGTGTAACCGTGCTCCCCGATTGTTTAATAATTATTTTAATAGCTCCGTAGGTAGGCACGGGGTCTGTAAATGTAAGCTCAACAGTGTGTTCAACAAATAGGTACATATGACATTGTTACTGGTCAAGCGGCGGGACGCGTGACTAGCTCTAATATGTTGTATGAACTTGTATGCCAGAATTTATGTTCGCACTACCCTGAAAATAAAAGAACGCTATTTTTATGTTATCTGTTCCTACTGACACTTAATACATGAGAATTGTGACATTTGAATAATGTGTTACTATTTATGTTAAATGTAAGCTGATGTGGAACAGAATATACCTACTGATAATTCACATTTAGTATCAAAAAATCTGTAATACCTTTCGCTATCTATTGAGGTTACGTCATCAATATTGTGGAGTGTGTCTCTTTACGGTTGCATGGATAAAAATAATAGGCAAGCGCATTCATTTAATTTATGCACCGCATAAGCTCAGTTTTAATAAAATTAAAAGCATTAATTTAACAGCTCAGGCAGGAAAGCATACCGCTATAAAGGTATGTAAAACACACTAGGAAATAAAAAATGGGGCATATAAATATCATTACTCATTAGAATCTCTGAGGTAAATCCTGCAGTAAAATTTTTTTAAAAACAATCGTGGCCTTTCTAGGCCTTTAAACTGGCCACAAATGAAATTCGAATCATTCAATTTTGTAATTGGAACAATAAAAAGAAATAATATTCAAACCGTTCCATAAAAACGTTACCCGTACTCTAAACAACACACAAAAATCCGCGTGTTGTAGATTAAAAAGCATTTGTCACTACCCCTATTCTTCCCGTGGGTGTCGTCAAAACTCACTTAAAGGACTAAAGATTTGACATAGACCGGACAGAAACCTCTTTTATAAACTGCTATTTTTAACTCACCTGCTTTGAGAAAAGATTGAAGTAAACCCTACGGAAGAGAGATGTGGACATTACTATAACGGTATTTTTGAAAAATGAAATTTTACGATATTCAGCTTACCAGCTTAAATTAATGACCATTAAAAACTTAGCCATATTAAAAAAAAATTAGGTACGTTCTTAATTTCAAATCATGTGTAATGTTCAAATAACTTCGACGCCCGTTGTCTTTTTTTTTAATGGGAATGGAAAATCATCCAATGGCTTCTCCTATCTCGGGCGAGACGAGAGGGAGTGGCAGTCTCTTATTGACTAAAATAGACCGCAGGCCCGTGCTTATGGTGCCCGGAGATCGTCTCGCGGTCCTCGACGCCCGGAGTCTCTCGCGACGGCTGGGGCGTGAGGAGGTCCGTTCACTCAAGCGCCTCACCTCCTCCTTAGCTAGCATGACTGCTTCGCAGAAGGAGGCATCCCAGTCTCCCTCCGCTCCATGATCTGAACCAGAGCCAGATGCGAGATGTCGCCATCACCGATCACATCCCTGAGGAGATATCTGCTGGCTAAACGTACATACTATAAGTGGAATGTAAAATATTTCGGTTGCTGACTGGCCAGGTAGAATAAGAATAATGTGTTCGAATTTCGAAGTAGTGTCCGTCGAAAGAAATTAAATGCGATGATTTACTTAATAAAAGTTAGGTATTCGTTTGTTCTATTTTTAATAATTAAGAGTAGATGTTTTAACTAAACCACGACCTGATAAAGAGCGCAGTGAGCCACTGGATGCCGGTCAGCTCCAACTGACTGATGTGAAAGTTTTTGGGTGAGGTCTATGTGAGGCAGTGGACGTCTTGTGACTGGTAATATGAATGATTATCTACTCCCGCACGGTTGTACCTACTTTGCTCGACTCCTATTGATCGCAGCATCCGCGCGCGCCTCAAAGAGCCATCAGACCACCACGGATGGGCCCAATAGGGCTGATGCCGATTCGGAGTCGCGGAGAACCTAACGGGTTACCGGGGCTCCGGCTCAAAGAGCAGGAGAAGGAACGGGGTGCTTTTTAGTCAGGAAGAGTCTGACACTCCCCCGCCTCATCCAGGCGGGAGCAGTCATTCGATGATTTTCCCCCCTTAAAAAAAATTGATCACAGCGTGATGTTGTATTTTATGACCTATAAAATTCCTCGATAAATGCACTATCCAACACAAAAATAATTATATTCGACTCGGACCAGTAGCTCCAGAGATTAACGCGTTCAAGCAAACAAACAAATAAACAGACACTTCAGCTTTATATAACACAAAAAATAAAGTGAAAATGAAGGTTCAAAAAAACACAATCTCATATATTCCACTGAACAGTGATTGATATTTAATTAAACAATTAAAATATCCTTTGTTTTTAATATGAGCTTTTTTATTAACTTATGACGCATTGAGAGTCCATTGCATTTGAACCAGTTTGACCTTGGCCCCGAAGCATAGGCCTAAGTTTTTTTGCCTTGTCTTGATCTGTTTCATTGGAAGCTGAAATAAAATTATATTTTTAAATATGCGTATACAATCTATACATACCTATATTTAAAAATGAATTACTGTTTATTTTTGGGATAAGCCGGTAACCGAGCATCACCAGATCGCTAAAACTCGAAAACGGCTGGACTAATTGGGTTAATTTTGGTCTTGAATTATTTGTGGAAATCCAAGGAAGGTATAAAAGGTAAGAAAACAATGTTTGAGACGGTACGATGGTAGCACAAGTACAGTAGTATATAATTCATCATCAGACCTGATTTTCAATTATTAGATATATATTATAAGTAGACGGATCACCTTATGATTACAATGATAATAAGTGATAAATAAAAATTTATGATAATAAGTGATAGCTCCACCCATGAAAACTTATAACATCAGAGGAGACGCAACAATTCTGATCCCCAATCTCTAAATCCGAAAGGCTAGTTACTCCTCAGCAGCTGTAGCCAAATGCCATTTAGCACTTGTCTACTTGTAGAATAGAAAACCAAATTATATGGAATTGGAGAAAATTTTGACACTTGTCAGTGTCATTCCCATTCATTTTTTTTTTCTAATCTCTCTGTAGACAAGCGCTAAAGTGGTGTTTGGCTAAAGGCACTGGTGTTCGCCCGTGGCTTCCCACGCGCTTTTTTTAAGGTGTTTACCCACTTTTTTTATTACTCACAAATATCGCATCCCTATTTTTAGCTTTCTACCTACTTTGAAAATTGCGAAATGCACCATGTAAACTTCCACTACCAATTTCAGAGAAGTGAGGAGGGGTTCACAAAATAGAAGTCTAAGTCACTTTCCATCCCATATACTATTCTCACCTCTTTCACATTTATAATGATAGTATAGATAAAAAAAATATAGGTACTTACCTGACTTTCTATTTCCATAGTATCTCGACCTGTTTGTAGCGACATCTCGACGAAAAAGCAGAGG